CCCGTTCCAGGGGTAGTCCTAGAGGATGCCCCCCCATACATTGCGATAACGCCGTACTTTTCTCCACACGCGCAAGTCAGCAATCGCGATTTACAGGCGCAGGATGAAAAAGAAGCCTATTAGAAATCAAGGCAGTAGTGGTCAGTGGAGCAGGAATGAAGAAAAAGCTCCAGAAATGTGATCCTTTCTCTGCCATTTAATTCCCTTATTGATGCGACTCTCATCGGCGATGCCCTCTTCAGTATTAACGCTCTCTCTGCTAAACGGCTAGAGTCAGACGACGAGAGGGTGTGGCAACATATATACTCTTTACTGCGAAACGCGCATCGTACTACATCTCTCACCACCGCCTAACGTAAGGCTTAGCCCTGTTTTTAACAAAAAGATACGTTTTACGCGTTTCTAAATGCACAACTACGACAATGCCCCCGCATATTGCGATAGAGCCAAAAGCACCACAAATCCGAATGGAATCAAAGGAACTACAACCTTAGTGTCCTATCTTCGACTTGGTACATTCCTCCTTCTTGGGCTGGATTCCTTCTTTGAAGGAAGCGATTACGATAAAGAGGGAGCGCATGGGGAAGCATATGCACCACACGAAGCAGTTACTTGGCTGCCAAGGAAGCGAGGTGTGGCGCTTTCACGACGAAAGGTGCGCTGGTTGCTGAGCAGGACTTCGAAAGCACTCCGCCCCAAAAGCGATCCGCCCACTAGTTTAGTTGGTGATTTGGACGAGCTGCGTTGCCAGCAGCGGCACAACTGGAGCAACTCGACTGGAGCATGGATTGGCATGGTGCCACCAAACGCGTTGCGGTAAACTCGTCCATACGTCCGCCGTCTTAGCCGCTGCCCGTCCATGAGCGAAAATCAACGGCCAAAAAAGGGGTCCCGTTTTGTTTTCTTGACGGATTTCTCTGCTTTTTTCGCCATTGGCGTACTATTGCACCCCCACGTCCCCTGTGAACCCCTTCAGAAGCTATCGTAATCGCTGCTTTGATATTTTTTATTCAGGAACTCGCTCCTTTGCCATCTCCTCCGTTGTTCTGCTGTTCGTCACGATTCAATGGTATCTGAAGATTTCTTATTGTGAAACATTACTGATACCGCTGCATAAGCCATTTTCAGTTCATTTATTTCTTCCATTAACAATCTTCTCGAAACGCGCCCCAGCCTTCTGGATACTTCACTGTTGGAGCAGGAAAAACGTTATTCTACTGGTATGGAAACTGTATGACTAGTTAGATTTTGATTCTTTCCTGCATCAGTTACTCAGTTCAGGTTTGTTGAGTCTCAGAACAACGCCACCACTGATCCCATTGTGTTGTGGCTTAGCGGAGGACCGGGATGCTCTGGCGTTGCTTCTCTTCTGACGGAATGGGGACCTTTCATGGTACAGGCTACTTGGCTACTTTATGGACAGTTTGTTGTATAATTAGCCTGACATACGTTGTATTGTTTACAGATTGAAATAATTTGTTTTAGACCAATGACGACGGGGCAACGCTGAAGACAAACCCATATTCATGGAATAAATACGCTTCTGTTCTTACTATGGATGCTCCTAGTGGTGTTGGATATTCGTACACTGCCGATGGTAAGATCGCCACTGATGACGACCAGGTGTGTTAGGTAACACGTGCTTCATGGGATTATTGAAGAAGAGAGCTGCAGTAGGGGTATATTGAAATTATTCACTCCCGAAGTTTCATTTTACTTAGATATAATAGATATGGGTACCGTGACCATGTGGACCATGTGAGACTTTCAAAAATTTGTCCTAAACACTGTGAAACTTCCTAAAATGATTTTGGGGAGCGTTTGGGCCTTTGAGGTAAGCCCACAGAGCCTAGCGCCTTCCTCACGCTCCGTATAGCTTGTATAGATTTCTAGTAAACTTTTCCTAATCCAGAGCTCCTACTTCCTCGACCCTGAGAAGGAGTTGGGATTCTTATGAAGATAATCTCACTGAAGTCGAAGCCACAAGAGAACACCTTCGATAGAAGAAGAAGTGACGACGATAGGAGTTGCGGGCCCTGTAATGGCGCGAACATCAGGAGAATAGGGGGAGAGGGCTTAATGGCAGGGATCACATGGCTGGAGGGCGGGTGCGGTTTTGATGCCCTCGTTGAACGCCATTGGTAGACTGTGGTAGACTGGACCCCTAAGCACGTTATTGCTGTGGTTGGGACGGCCTTCAGACCACCTTCCACCAATAATGTTCGATGACGTCCTCAAAACTGTGCTCTCCTGCCATCGTAGTCGCTGTTTTGAAGGCCTTCTGTCTCGGAAGCGCTTGTAGCGCCCTTGAGCAAGTTCCGTTCCTCCCTACTAGCCATCATTTCCGTAAATGAATGCTCATTATATCGTGGCCGCTGTCTTTAAGTCTTCCTTTTTGAATTGCTTCTGTGAGCTGCCGCAGCGATCGCGTGAGGTTTTCCCGGCGTAAACTCGGTATTTTAAGCGGCAGTAAATGGATTAGTGGCTTAGTCAACAATTTTTGTACCCACACACCTAAAGATGACTACTACACCGCAGGTGGCCAAGGAGAATTGGAAATTTCTTGTTGCTTTTTTCAAAGAGTTCCCACAGTATCGGAAGAATGATTTCTACATTGTCGGAGAATCTTATGGAGGTTTGAAAGCTTTCTAATTTTTTTTCGTAAATAATAAACCCTGGAAGTTTGTGA